CATCCTATACCATGTTTCCTTTCAGAGTGAACCAGCTGCAGCAAAACCTGGGCGAGCAGAATCGCAAGCGGGAGGAGGCGATGCACGCCATGGACATGATCCACCGCGAGAAGGAGCACTCGGCGGAGAACGAGAAGCTGAGACTTCAGGGCAAGCTCACGGAGACGGTGGAGGAGGTCAACAAACGGCTGCTCACCAAGGAGATCAAGCTACGCGAGGAGCTGCAGGAGAAGTTCAACCACCTGGAAAAGGTTGGGAGACATCATGAACATTTTGTGAGGCATCGTGCGTGGTGTGAAATCAGGCGCTCGTCAAAAAAATATTGACATCGAAGAAGAAACTGCCCGTTTTTCTGTCATTTTGGCAATTTTTATCAAATTTTTGTTTTGGACTCAACACCTTTAAGGTACATTAACAATGCGTGGATGAATTAAGGTGACTGCTTTTTTAGGAGTGTTCTTGTAGATGAATCGGACAGTTCCCTTTTCCTTTCCCTTTCGTCCCCTGAATGTACCATATGTGAGGCAGAGTTACAGAGTGGTGGAATCAGGCTCTCGTCAATTTTTGGGCATGTAGAGTTATTGGTATCGTCTTAAAGCTTGTTCACTTTTCTTTATTTGGATGAAAAAAATATCCATTTATCTTGAATACAAGTCAAAATATTTGCGAAAGAAGTAGGTGGGGGTCACCTGTTTTTAGAGGTAAAATTAGTAAGAAAATGGTCGCCAAAGATTAGTTATTTCCTTAGTTTAAGTAACTGAAAATTTACATTTTGTGCCCCTTTAATTAAGGTTTTTCAGAAATATCCACACAGAAATGAGTTCTTTAATGGGCATGAAAGGTGTTGGGCGAAAAAATATACATTTGATAAAAATTCTCAAACCTACGGAAAAATGCGTGTTTCTTCACTTTGATTATTTTGACGAGAACCTGATTCCACCACGCTGCCTGACATATTTGTCATTAGATAGCTGCATCAGTCTCACAGTCTCCAGGGTAATGGCTTTGTTGATTATCCTCTGGTTCAATGTGGCTTTCGTGGAGTTTTACCTTTAGCGCTGTGTGGGAATCATAGTTCAGAACCTCTGCAAACAGCAGTCAGCAACAGTTATGGTCGCTTTTCAGCACAAGGGGGCTATCCCGAAAAATGCTTGCTGTTATGAAACAGGAAACATTCGTTATTCTTTTCTCCCTGCAGATGTATTGGTGGTTGTCAGGCATTGATGGAAGGAAGGAAAGAAGGAAGGAGGGAAGGAAGGAAGAAAGAAAGAAAGAAAGAAAGAAAGAAAGAAAGAAAGAAAGAAAGAAAGAAAG